AACTTAAATTCATGCAAGAACTGTATTGTTTTCTTTTTCTTTTGGGAAGGGATTTCTTTTCTGAACCTTCTCTTTACAGGATGCCAATTCTTCCTAATAAACTCTCACAAATTGGAACTTTAGTTAAGAAAAATTATGAGCACCCCTTTGATTATGTCAAGAAAATCCGTTTTTATTGTTCCTACCTGAGTAACTTCCTTGGAGACAAACAGTGGGATCTCCCCTGAGTAACTTCCTTGGAGACAAACAGTGGGATCTCCCCGATCGTATTTCAGCTCTAATTGTGCATTGTCTTCCCCATAAACCCCCATATTTGACTGTCAAAATAAAATTTGCTGATTTCTACTTACCTAGGGACATCCCCAATCACTCAAAATATAGAGACTATTATGGACAGTGGTACCATGATTTCAGATATTTGATTTCCTATCTCGTTCAAGTTGAGCAGTATCATTTTGAGCGCTTACATATTCCATTTTTAAATTACTATGCTTAAGATAACCAAATAGGGAATAATTCTCCTTCTACAAGCCACCAATCTGGGGTTTTTCCCCATCATAGGGTCATCAACTAGCATCAAATGGAGAGCAAGAGGAAGGAAAACTAATGGAGGAGAGTAACCATTCTATAGACAGTTCTATCATGCATCCAAGATTCCTAATCCAAATCCACCCCAATCATTAGTCATTATTTATATTTCTTCTGATGATGAGGAGGATGAGGAGTTTGTTTAAGTAAAGCAGGAGCTTGAGACACCTGAGCCAATGGAAGATGATGATGACCTTGAGTTTGATCCTGGAAGCTACAAACAATCAAAAGACAAGTCGGATAATGTCCAAAAGGATTAGATTTTTGTAGTTTCATTTCTTCATAGGATTTCTAGCAGTTAATAACTATTTCTTTTCCAATAGTGCAATAAGTGGCATGGCCACAGTGAGCCAATAAACCTATTGATTTGCATAGGTTATTCGAACTCATTTTGTTTTCAGTCATTTCCTCATTCATTAATAAAATTCATATTCATTTCTTTGCAAAATATTTCATTTCTTATCACACCACTCCAATGATCCAATTCTTACTAAATTACTCCACTAATCCATTTCAAACTCCGGGAATCTGATAAGTCTATTTTATATATATTTTTATTCCCCGTCCCACGGTCATATTTGTGCTTATTGCAGAGTTATGACAATTTCCGGTCTTATTATACCACTACGAAGATATTGGAGTTGGATCGTATTTTATGACCGTATATTTGAAGCCCACGATTGAGCTAATTAAATTTGGTTCGGCGATTAAGGGCTCAGTTTGTTTGGAGTACTAATATTATTAGTCTAATAATTGGATATCAAGAAGAAGGAAATTGGGTCGATTATATAAAAGCACAAGTTACAAATCTAAGGATCGAAGCAGCCTAACACGTTGCTCAGCTAACCGGGCCCAATCGACGACCTTGTTCACGCTCCAGCTGTTTTGCTTCATCAGTGGGCTAATTGTTTAGGCCCACTTGATTTTTATTTGTGTCGGTGAAGTTGTTTTATAAATAGGAGTAGGAGTATGTAGTTGGGGGGGTTAGCTTATATTTTCATTTTCTTTATTTTAGGTTAGTTTTGTTTTTTTGCTTTTCCGTAGCTTTTAATTCAGTAGCCTACAATTTTAGTGATAGTTGATTTTATGTATGTTGCTTTCAATTTCCGTGAGATTTTCATTGTTACATTATAGTACTAGTTTTATATTTATCATTGTATTGTTTACTCTAATTTTGTTATTTATTTTCAATAATAGTTTATTTTATTCTTGCTATTATTATTATGTTTTCTTTAATTGCTTTGAGTAGTATAGATTTAATTATGAGCGAGTAGTATAATTCTAGGGTTGTAGGGATAATGAATAATACGAAGGGGTAATTTATTATTGTTGATTATTGATGATTGATTAATTTCCTATTGATTGATTTAATGCTATGCAATTAGATTTGGCCAGGTTTAATTGTATGAGTTTTGCAATATTGATTCGAGATTTGAGAGATGAGAATTGATGTTTAGGCTTAGTTTCAATAGGCATGTTAATCTATAAATGGTTAGGTCAAGATTCGAGAGATGCGATTTAATACCGGTAGATTAATTATGTGATTATAATACGTAGCGACAACCCTTTATAATCTGGTTAATTTATGCATTAACGATTGATTGTATTTTTTTACCCTGGAGTATTATTTATTGGTGAACCTATGCCCTAGATCTTTTATTATTGATTTTTCCCTTGTTTAATTTGCTTAGTTTAATTATTAATATAATTCACATATTACATATTGGTTACTCTATAATTTAGATTATAATAATTAATTAGGAGTAAAAGAACATTGTTTCCCTGTGGATTCGACCCTACTTCCCTATCTACTTTAGTTAGAGGACTTAGGAATTACATTTGATTAGGTGATACGAATGAGACCTGTCAGAATCATGGGTATTATTTTATTTATTTTTGATATGCTTTAAATGAATGGTTGGTTAGCAATAAAAAAATGTATTAATCAAGCTACAAGTTAGGAGTTGTAATTTTTGCAACTTCAATGTAATACCCCTCATGATTGCTTTAAAGGAACTTCATATACTACTCATACCAACAAGATGCATCTTTCTTTTAGGGAGCTCATATGCTAAGATACTTCTCAGTTAAGCGTGCTTGGCTAGGAGTAGTCTTAGGATGGGTGACCTCCTGGGAAGTTTTCCCGGGGAGTGCTTAAGTGAGGACAAAATGTGCCGGAAGAACTTGTGTTGGTCTGTGAGGACAATTGTTGGCCCTTGATGCGCATTTCATGACAATAGACCCCACCTTGATTTGGGGTCAGAGTGTTACACTCAAATTGGTAGTTTAAATTATATGTGAATGTATGCTTGATGCAAGTAAATAGAATGGGGGTTAATTAATATAAGAGATCCCTTTTGTTTTAATTCAGGAGGTGTAGGATGGCAGGTGGTAGTGGAGATAATAATAATGGAGGGAATGAGTTTAGTGAGGTAGTAAGGCAACTAGCTGCAGTGGCTCAACAGTTGGCTAGAAACTCGGCTACTAATGGGGACTTTTAAAGTGAGATATTCAAAAAGGTTTCTCAAAACAAACCACCAACTTACCAAGGTGAATCTGACCCTACTTAGTTAGAGAATTGGTTAAGGGAGTTTGAAAAGTTGTTTGGGGCAGTGGGATGCCCAAAAATCTCGAAAATTATTTATGCTACTTACTATCTGAGAGGTGAAGCTGATCTTTGGTGGCAACAAAATGAAGCGACTATTAAGGCACTGTCGGGTTTTAATTGGACTACGTTTTAGGAGAAGGTTAGGGATAAGTTTTACCCCAATTTTTTGAAAAAAAAAAAAAGGCTCAAGAGTTTTCTAACTTAGCAGTGGGGGAGATGTCTGTGTCTGAGTACTACACAAAGTTCATTGAGCTGTCGAGATTTGCTAAGGAGTTTTTGGCTATAGAAAAAGTAAAGGCTAGGAAGTCTGAGAGTGGATTGACTACCGATCTTCAACTTAGCTGCGAGGACAGGTGTTTGACACTTTGGATGAGGTTTATGGAAGGTCTGCACACCTTTACGCTTTAGAGTTGAAGGAAAAGAAGGAGTTGGCTGAATTAGAAGGGAAGGAGAAGAGTAAAAGATGGGACAAGGCTCTGGAAACCATCAAGGTAACCAGAACAATTTCAAGAAGTAGAAGTTCTCCCACAATAACATTATCTTCAACAACAGTCGTCAGAATGATATGGATGAAACTTTAATCGGGGAGCTAAGAACTTTAACAGGGAAACAATAAGACATCAAGGCGTTATTTCTGTAAAAGGTGTAGGAATGATCACCCTGGTAAAGACTGTGAGGGTAACTTAGTCACTTGTCGTGCTTGCAACAAGTTGGCCACAGGGAATATGAGTGTTTCTCTAGTTTAAGGATCCTAACCGAAACAAGCAAGGGAATAACCAGCGAGGGAATCCACCAAGGAAACAACAATTATGTAGGGAACAAAGGGCCACAACAAAGAGGGGTAAAGAGCAACAACAATGGGAATAACCAGGTGAAGGGAAAGCTCCAAGAAAACTAAACGTGATGAGTAGGCATGAAGACGATGCAGTAAGCTAAGGGATGTGAAAACTGGTACTTTTTCTATTAACTCTGTTCCTGTTAAAGTTTTATTTGAATCTGGTGCAACTTTTTCTTTCATTTCTAAAGCCGTTGTTCCAAAGCTATTGCATTTCTTGAAAACCGTCGATGTTATTGATGTACCTACAGTTATTCCTACGGGAGGGACAGTGCAGTGTACCAAAACCTTTAAGGATGTGCTATTAGAGATTGAAGGGAAGTAGTTCTTATCTGATCTCATTGAATTTGAGTTGAGTGATCTAGATATCATCTTGGGAATTGATTGGTTATGCAAGTATAACACAAAGATTTGTTGACGATCACAGAAAGTACATTTAAGGACGTGTGAGGGTGAATTGGTGATTCATTGGAGGCATGGGGAAACAAAGTGTGCGAGGATCATTTCTATGATGAAATTGGCTAAGTATATCAAAAAAGGGGCACCCACTAAACTTCTGTAGTGTAAGGAATTTGGACTACGAGGAAACGGTTAAACCAGAGAACATAGAAGTAGTGAATGAATTTTTAGATGTATTCCTAGAGGAGATTCCAGGGATGCCACCCAAGAGGGAAATTGACTTCACAATAGATTTGTACCTAGGAACAACACAAATTTCCAAGGCACCATATCGGGAGCACCTGCAGAAATGAGTGAGTTGAAGGATCAACTGCAGGATTTGTTAGAAAAGGGATACATTATATTAGACCAAGTGCATCGCCCTAGGGAGCTCCAGTGTTGTTTGTTAAGAAGAAAGATGCAAGTATGAGGCTTTGTAGCGACTATAGGGAGTTGAATAAAGTCACTATAAAGAACAAGTACCCATTTCCAAGGATTGATGACTTATTCGACTAGTTGAGGGGCGCAACTATGTTTTCAAAGATTGACTTGAGGTCAGGATACCATCAGTTGAGAATTGTGGATGAAGATATTCCTAAGACAACATTTAGGATGAGGTATGGGCATTACAAGTTCACAGTGATGCCATTCGGGTACAAATGCTCCGGCAATTTTCATGGACTTGATGAACAGGGTATTTCATCCATTTATGGACAAGTTTATTTTAGTGTTCATAGATGATATACAGGTGTATTTGAAGAATAAGGAGGAACATGTTGAACATTTGAGAGCAATTTTACAGACCTTAAGAGAAAATAAGCTCTATGCGAAGTTTTCTAAGTGTGAGTTTTGGTTAGAAAAGGTAGCATTTCTGGGTCACTTTGTATCCAAGGATGGGGTAGAAGTAGATCCAGCGAAGATTGAAGCAGTAAAAGGATGGACTACGCCAAAGACAGTGTCTGATATCGGGAGTTTCTTAGGTTTAGTAGGGTATTATAGGCGTTTTGTGAAGGACTTTTCCAAGATTGCTAAGCCTATGACTTCCTTGGTGAAGAAGGATTGTAAGTTCGAATGGAATGAGAAGTGTGAAGAAGCATTCTAGCTTTTGAAAGAAAGACTGACGACTGCACCAATGTTGACACTACTAGATGATAGGGAAGTCTATGTTGTGTATGGTGACTATAGACACCTAAAAATGTCTCCCCGCCCAAAGCCTGATGACAAAACAACCATCATTGCCAAATTTTGTCCAATTCGCGTAATGGTTATAAGAATTACTTGAATAGTCTTTTTGTTCTAGCCCATTATCATTTCCTAACCCATTTTAGCCAATTGAATAGCCTAAACCCTTTTTTTAGCCCAAAATCCATAAACCTTAGCTCATTTTCTCTTTTAATAATTACATCCCAAACCCGAGCAAATATGATTTTTGTACCTCATAATTTTTATCCAAATATTAATTTGTTGGATAGCCCTTGAAATAATATTTCCAATGATATATCATAAGCCCAATTCCAATTTGAAACGAAAAAGATATGATCAAAATACCAAACTCTATCCAAAACTGACACTGTTACACTATTTCGAGCATATCTCAAATTATACAAAATATTTTAATCTGAATATAATTGGGTTGTAAAGTAGACTTCCAGAGATTTTCAACGATATATTATTTATCTTATTCCGAGTTCTGGATTAAAATTTATGATAAAAACAAAAACTGCAAAACTACTGGCCCGCGCAACGCATTTTCCAAAATCTATCTTCTTTTAAAAATATATCTTCACTCGATAAGCCTATAAATACCACCTATTTTATCATTTTCTGGATTTTAAGGAGAGGAATTTGACATCCATACAAATATTTTGTCAATCCCAAATCATCCCAAAAGGCTTAGATCTGAAGGTTCTACCTTTTTTTACTAAAGCATGAAGGTATAATCTCGAGGGTGATATTAATTTCTTTAATTGTTTAATTTAATGCTTTTGATTTAATATTTTTATTGAAGTTAATAACAATTTATTCATGATGTAGTATTCAAAGTTGCACAATCGGAGTGAGTATTTAATTCTCTTTGTTTTATTTACTCTAATTATTTTTATTACTTTGATTACTAACATCATGTTTAGAATCGTTATTTTTAATTATTAGTATCATGTTTAGACTTTATATTAATCTTGTTAGTATCATGCTTAGGATTTTATTAATAATTATATAGTATAATGTTTAGGATGCTTTTAATTCGTTTCTCTAATTATTATCGAGTTGCTTATAATATTTTTATGCATGCTTAATTAATTTATTTTATTATCTTTATTTTGATCACCTATTTTGTATGTTTAATTGGGAATATGTATTTGAAAATCACGCCTAATAAGATAATTTGGATAACCAATTTAGGTTCCTAGGCTAGTAATCATGTTGCTTAAATTCAAGTGGTCACAGTAATTAGATTTATGTGTGCATTAAATATTCAACCGACTTAGATTACTTAGTTTGGAGCGAATTGAATATTGTTTGTATGTCTTTTGGGTTGCAATTGATACATGTCACTATAAGAATCGAGTAAAGGCCAATATGGGCGGCATTGGGTTCATGACTCAATCCGTACCATCATCCCCAAATATCCAATTATGGTTTAGGACCACTATGGAGTTAGTAATCTCATGGATTATGAATGGGGTGTAACCTTCATGGATCAAATTGTTGGTTCCTTTCGTATTGTCCCCTTTCTTGGTTGCCTTCAATGATCAATGAACGGTTTATAATTTCCTTAAGAACTTGTTGGCGGCTCCCTACTTTTTTGTCCCTATCGTTATATATATGTCAAATCCAACTTCCTATGATTGCCAAGCATATTCACGTATGCGCCACGTAGGCGCAATTCGAGCGACACCTATAGTGACGCATCCAAAAATGGTTTGGGATGTGTGCTTATGCAAAATGGTAAGGTAATTGCGTATGCATCGAGATAATTGAAACCTCATGAGGCAAATTACCCTACCCATGACTTGGAGTTAGCTGCAATTATTTTTGAGCTAAAAATTTGGAGGCATACTTGTATGGAGTGAAGTGTAAGATTTATATGGATCACAAAAGTTTAAAGTACATCTTCACTCAAAGAGATTTGAACTTGTGACAAAAAAGGTGGTTGGAATTTATCAAGGACTACGAAGTAGACATCTAGTACCATGAAGGGAAAGTAAATGTAGTTGCTGATGCTCTAAGTCGTAAGTCAAGCCATGGAGTAAACACTTTCGTAGTGGCCGATGAATTATGCAAGGAAATGAGTACAATGAACTTAGAAGTAGTAGAAAGAGGGCGTTGGAGGGTATGCTTGCAAATCTGAGCATCCAACCAACGATATTCGATGAGATAATAGAGAATCAAGCAGGAGATGTAAAGTTGAATAGGATTCGTGAGAAAATAAAGCAGGGACAAACTACAGATTTCAAGATTTATGAGGATGGAAGCTTGAGGTATAAAGGTACCTCAAAAGTGTGAGGAATTAAAGAAGAAGCTGATGAAAGAAAGGCACAATACACCCTATTCAGTGCACCGTGGAGGGGATAAGTTGTATAAGGACTTGTGTAGACATCTAAAAATAAATGTCTCCCTAAAACCTAACCCGATGATGAACAACCTTTCACCGCCATTATTGGTCGGGTTGAGTATTTAATCTCGAGAGTGCTTAAAATCATTGTTCAATCCAATACAATTTACAAATCAATCCACATTTCAATCCAAACATTTATTCAAATCTCGTTCAAACCTTATTTCTAGCGTAAACCATTTTAAATCCATTTCATTATTTATTCATTGAGCCTGATTAATAAAACCAAAAAACCCTAAACCTGAAAATGAGTCCGGAATAATATAAACGACGCTTAATTTATCACGTATTTTGTTGAAGATAAGATAAAAACGAATTTTAATGAAGTTTCCAGAAAACTAAATCGCCGCGCCACGGCATATGTACCGTGCCACGGTTCACAGTGTCGTGCCACGGTGCACAATGTTGTGCCACGGTGCATATTTTTCACCCGGTTTTATCTTTTTTCACGAGTTTTCTTATTCTGAAATGATAAAATTGAGTACATTGCCACGTCACAGGTACCGTGCCACAGTACTTTTACCGTGCCACGGCACCCAATGTCGTGGCGCGGTGCATTTTTCTTCTACGACGCCTTATTTCTACGGTTTTGGATCTAATCCCTCATTTTCCCTCTATAAATATGTGGCTGATTTACAGTCTCGGGGCACCAATTCAGACTCTCTTTCTCTCTTATACTCTAGCCTAAATACTTGCCTTCCTAATTTCACAATTCATTCCCTAAGCACTCCTCGGAGTCCGTAATTTACTGGAAATTCCATACTTAAGCCAAGGCATGAAAGGTACCCCTGTTTGAGGGCTTAGCCCCAAATCAACTTTACTTTAGTTTGATTTAATTTCCATCATTGTTTATTAATTTCCTTGAAGTTACTAACATGTACGTGTTTATTGTTTTATAGTTGCAAGCAAACACAATCAAAGTAAGGAATCATGTTCCTTTTGTTCCTATTATATTTCTAACGATTTTTATTATGTTTGTCATATATTAATTGTTGTTATTATGGTTAAATTGCTTCCAATATTATTGTTATTCTATTGTTTCGTTGATCACCATATTGCATGTTTAAAGGGAATATGTAAATGAAAATCACGCTTAATAAGATAATTTGGACAACCGGTTTAGGTTCCTTTTTAATTTTGTTGCTTAACCAAAAGTGATCACTAATATTTTAGAATTATGTGTTGCATTAATATTCAACCAATTTAGCCTGATATAGTTTGGAGCAAATTGAATCTTTGTTTGTATGCTTTTGAGATCACAGAAAATACTTTTCACTATAAGAATCGAGTAGAGGCCAATACGGGCGAATGTGACTCCATGAATCACTTCGTACCATCATCCCCGATCCTCCTTTCGTGGTTCCGAACCATATGGAGTTAGTAATCTCATTGATTCACTACTACAAATTGACCTTTGTGCCACTGTACGGATAAAATCGTGGCACAAGTTTAAAATTCCCGTGGCTATGCATTTTTGCCACGGGAATTTTTAAATTTAGTCCTGTGGCACAAGAGGCCGTTGCTAGGAATTTTCCACGGGAAAACGAATGTCGTGGCAAATTTAGATTTTTATGCCACGTGGCAAACAAATTTTCTTGCCACGAGTACCAACGTGGCTAAAAATTTCTTTGCCACAAATCCTACCGTGGCTATTGAACTTTGTTGCCTCAAACATTACCATGGCTGGTAAGCTTCTTTGCCACAAATACTACCGTGGCTGATAAACTTTGTCGCCACAAATATTACCGTGGCTACCAAGTTTTTTGTCACAAATATTTCTATGTAAAACAAAATTCATTGCCACAATGCTACCGTGCAGTGGCAAATAATATCCCTTGACACTAATACTACTATGGCTACCAAATTCAGTAGGCATAAGCTTTGTTATAGCATTTAAAATATACACGTGGATAAATATTTACATGGCATTATTTCTCAAAAACGTCATATTTTTCCATTGTTGAAGTATATATATATATATCAAATTGATGTTTTGTATCCTACACATACAAACGTACTAAAAATCTGTCTCATTGTCTCATCACTGGCTCACTCTTTAAATAAAAAAGAAAAACACACACAAATTATTTTGCTAAAGAACAATAAATAATATATAAAGCATGTGACAATACGTCTGTGCTCTGCACCTTTTTACCTACAATAAATAAAAAAAAAAAAAAAACAAGTCAATATGATTTTTAAATGGAAATGTCAAATTAACACAAAATATATGCAATTTATGTTAAGCTCTAATTTGCCAATTAATATTTATCATGTCTTTCTTAAGAGGATATCTTGTTCTCCAACTCTCCCCTCCACCTTAATACAACCTTCTCTTATTTACTGAGATCTCTTTAAAACAAAACAAGTCCATCCACATTCCCATTATCACATCATATTAACAAATACACACGTGTGCACGCATGCACAATAAGATCATCAAATGAAACAAGATTCCCAATGTACACACATACAATAAAAGATTAAAA